ATTTGCGTGGGCCTCTGAGGCCACCGCCACCTGCTGGAGCAGGTCGTGGCCCTGGGTGTGTGCTAAATGATGCTGCTGGATTTTGCCTAATTACAAAAGCATTAGGAAGTGTATCTTTAGGCTGTCTTGTCTTTTTGGGTAAATGTCAGAGCTTCTATGGTGTTATTAGGGTTTCAGGTCTTTTGACAACCCAGCGGCAACTGGACACTTGCAACAAACAGTTCTGAAAACAGCCTTGGGGAGTGTGTTGCTGCCTGTTTTTGCAGTCTGCCCAGGGGTTGTGAAGCTCAGGTGGATGGAAGGTGAAGAGGAAGAAGTGGGGAAGACACCTTCTCAGGGTCGCTAGCAGGGCCCACAGGCTGGGCGGCTGCAATGCACGCCCCCCTGCACCTCTGGGCCAGAGCAACTTTGGGGGATTTGCAAGCAGAACAGGCTTGCGGGAGCTCTGATTCCTCGGCCGTCTCGTGGGCATTGGGGATGTATGAATGAGTGAATGAATATTTCAAACATCCCTGAGCGGCCGTTATTTTTGACTGGTCCTGGGACAAAATTGATCTTACCCTTGAAGATGAGGAGAACTGTGGAACCAAGGCTCTAGACAACATGGAGAACTTTTTCTTCATCCTTTTTCACCTTTTGTTTTCTTTTGGGAAACAAGAGATGTCACATCTACCCGCCTCAGAGCAGGAAGGAGCAACCGAGTCCCATTTCCCAGTTCCCCAGGAGACTTCAAACAGGCCTATTCGAACTGTTTCCCCAGAGGGCAGCCCTGGGGCCTCCTCGTCCTTCCTGGGGAGGGACCTGGAAGCGGCTGCCCAGAAGAGCCCTCACTGGGGGCTGGGCAGGCAGTTCCTGCATTTGCAGTTGCAGAATGAAGCGGCCGCCGGAGGAGCAAAATCCCCAGGCCCAACTTAGTGTCCGAGTTTGGTTCCTTCACCCCCTGCGGGGAAATTTTTTGGTTTGCCTCATACTCAGAAAGAAACAGCAAGGCAGGAAAGGCCATTTCCTGTGACACGGCCGTGGGGGGCGGTCGCGCCACGCCCCACGTGCTCGAGTGCCCGAGTGCCCGCCCTGGCGGGGCCTCCCTCCCGAGGGGCCCACACCAGCTCTGCTGGGCGGACACGTACCTGGGCTCGTGCCCGTTATTGCCCCGGGGAATGGGGAGCACGGCCCCTCAGAGGCTCAGGACCGGGACACCTGGGACGGGGGCCACAGGGTCCACAGACAGCCCAGGAGGCCATCCACTCCAGTCCGCTGTCCCTTTAATCATGTCCCCAAGGCTCCTCTGCCCCAGCTTCAGCAAGTACAACACAGCTTGTGTTTAGTGAACCCTTGTTAGACTGATGGAGCGTTATTCAGGTAGCCTGCTAATTACGAAGAAAATAGTTACTCACTTAAAGGAGCCGGGAGTCTGTCACAGTAACGTGAGCACACAGCACTTTAGGGGCCTCTGTGACATGAACTTACTATTTGCATCCATGTTGAGAGAGAGTAGAGAGAAGTTCAAACTTGGTTAACTGTGAAAAGTCACCTACCTAACTGGCAAATCCCGCACAGAGATGGACGTTCTAGAACAATGGACTAGGCGGGGGTGGGAGGACAGCCTCAGTCCGGGAATCGGCAGACTGCTCATCCGCGCCGCCCAGCCCGGAGCGGCGGAGTCTGGCAATCACAGGTCTAGTCAGACCAGGTTGGGCCTGCAGGTGGGAAGCGCCACACCAGCTGCTGCCCCCGAGCCCCTGCTCCTTCCCTCCGCTCACCCACCACCGGCCTCAGCTTTCTCGAAAGGCCTTAGGATAACCGAACTTGGGAAGTCTAGCTGAGGCTGAATTTCTCTCTTTTTTAAAATTTTTATTATTATTTACTTATCTTTAGAGGAGAAGGGAAGGAAAGAAGGAGAGAAACTTCAGTGTGTGGTTGCCTCTCGTGTGTCCCCTGCTGGGAACTGGCCTGCAACCCAGGCATGTGCCCTGACTGGGAATCAAACCTCGACCCTTTGCTTCGCAGGCCCGAGCTCAATCCACTGAGCCACACTAGCTGGGGCGAGGCTGACTTTCTTAATCCTTGTTCATTTCACGCACTTCAGGTGACTACACCCGGGGCCCCAACCTGGGCAGAAAGAACGAAGGCAGAGCCGATGATCACGGCACCGCCCAGGGCGCAAAGTTTGGAATCCACTTGTGTGAACAGTTAGTGTAACTTTTTGACTTTGTCCGGTGTCGAGGTCCCTCCTGATGCCATCTTTGCTGTGTTTCAGTGGGAGAAGTTGCCAGCAGGTTCCGTCCCGCGCAAGCCCCGCAGGCAATGGTCTTTGTGTGGGGAGGTGACACATGAGGGCCTGATCATAAAACCAAAACAGTTACACTCCGGGGGAGGCCCGATGAAGCCCCTGGGCTGGCCAGAGGCCCCCGAACAGTGTAAGCAGTGAATGCTTCTTCCTCTTCTCTGGGAAGCCAGCAGGCTTGGCTCTCTGAGCCTTGAACTTGCGTGAGTCGCTCTAATACCTGTGTGAGCCTCTCCTGGAAAGGCGGCGAGCAGCACATGCAAAGCTGCATAAATTCCTGTGAGACATTTCTTTGTCCAGATACAGAGCCAGCTTGTTGTTCCACGTTGCCATAGGGAACAGAGCTCTGCCTTTGAAATGCAGAGGAGAGAGTTATGATTGGTTCTCCTCGCTGCCCATCACTGCTGCCCATTGCTTTAACTGGGGAGGACCTAATGCCTGCTCCTAAAGCAGTTGCCCCATCTGGGGCAACCCTTGTGTTGGGTCCTCCAATCCCCCATAGCTTGGACAGTTAGGGAAGACCAGGGAAGACCAAGGAAGACAAGAAAGGGGAGAGATGGGAAGGCGCCGGCCTCACCAGCAGAGGGCTCGGCCACAGGTGGTGTCTGAATCGGTTCATTCTGAGAGTTGCTTGGTGGAGGATAGGAATCCTGGCACAGCCCTCTGACAGGTCTTTATGAAATGTCTACCTAGTTGCTTATTGTAAAATAACCCAAACTAGTTCAGCCTAGGGAATTTTTGGCAAAATCTGATTTTGGCAAAGTTTTAAATAGATCACATCATGTGAGGCAGTTGGTGGGAATGGGTCCCTCCCTGGCTGACAGTGCCCCAGGCCTGGGGACCCAGGAGGAGGTGGGCAAACACACAAAGGCCTCGGAGCCTGGGGTAGGGGATGCAGTCAGGCCCGAGATCCTTTGAGATCAGTGTTATTACAATTTCTGACAGGTGGGAAGGCACACCCAGGCTCTAGAAGGGAACACACCATGAAGGAAGGGGGAGCCAGTCTGGTGACTGAGGTTCAGCTCAGAGGCCCAGGGCTGATGAGCAAGGGCTGGCCTGTGCCCCAATGTGGTCGCTTTGTGGATGACAGCCGCCTGTGGTTCTTTGCTCTGAATTCAAAGAGATGTGCCCTTCTAGTGGCCCAAGCTGGGTTGCCCCCGGCCTGGCTGAGTCTGGTTAGCAAGGCCCCGTGAGTGTGCTGGAGAAGGAGCAACTTTGGGGCTGATTGAGGAAGCGCCGTCGGCCTGTTCTGACTGTCCAGGGTTCTAGAACATTCTGTGGGGAAGCCGCAGGAGGAGATGCTGGACTTCCTACCTCTAGTCACATGAGTCATTGGAGAAATACAAGGACTGGCTTAAGCTTGCCATACTCCAGGAGTCTTTTATTTCTATTTAATTTTTATTGCATGCTATTGGAGTGACGTGGATGAATATGATTTCATGGGTCCCGGGTGCACAGTTCTATGAAACCTCTTCTGCACACTGCACTGCGTGTTTGATCCGGGAATCTTTATCAGCCTTGAGGAGAGAAAAATGAGAAGTCCGCATTGTGTCCTCAGTGTTGACGTTGCTGACTCGCATGGAGGCCGTTCCTTCCTGGCTCTGTCCACCCGGAGCCTCCCAGAGCCAGGCCCTCCGCTGCTCCCACCTCGCTGGGCCTGGCTGGGTGCAGTCCTAGGCGACTCAGGGGAACCCTAGATGGCCCGGGGGGCTAGAGGGCTGAGGCCTCTGGAAAAGGGGGTGTCCCTGGCCCAGGAGGCTAGGCGTGCCCCAGGAGGCCTGGGGTCACCAGAGGAGACGCGCAGTCAGGCCAGCTGAGGATTCTGGGCACTCTCAGCACGCTGGCTGCCCTGTTCACACCTGACGGCGACACAGCCTGGCTGGGAGGAGGGAGAGGAAGTCCAGCCAAACCCGGGCTGAACCGACCCCCTCTCACTAGAAAGAGCAGTGGCCCAGGTAGCCTGGGTCACCTTCAGCCCCACCCTCCTGCGTGTTTGTGTGAGACGGCACACGTGTGAGTGTGTGCTGGCGCAAGTGTGGATGTGTGTATGAATGCGAGAGCACGTGAGCATGTCTAAGCAAGTGTGCCTGATAGTGACCCCAAGTACCTGTGTTTGTGTACAGTGTGTGACAGTGAATCAGAATGAGTGTGTGCGTGTGTATGACTGTGTAAGAATGTTTGAGGGCGTGTGTGTGTATGTGAGCCAGAGAACACATGTGAATGTGGTCCCCGTGAGTGTGTGTGAGTGGCCGCCGTGAATGCGCCAGTGTGGCCGAGTTGAGCGTGAGGGAGGGCGGCTGCCCTGGTGAGCTGGGTGACGCCATCGCTCCCGGCCGCGAGAAAACCTGCACCTCTTGGGCCCCACGCAGCCTGCGTGGCTTTTTGACCCGGAAAGGGGGACGCCTGGGCGCGCGGCGGCCGGGGGCGGGGACCGCGGCGGGGGCCGCGCTGAGCTGGGGGGCGGGGCGCGCGGCGGCGGGCGGGGCCGCGCGGGGCGGCCTCCGGCGCCCCCGCCCCCGCCGCCGTTGCTAAGGCCGGCCCGCGGGCGCGGCGCGGAGGGCCTTAGCAACCAGGCGCGCGCGGGCGCGCTCGGGCGCGTGGGCCCGGCCGCGCCGGCGGCTCCTGCGGCTCCCACGCGCGCGCGCGGGCGGGGCGGGGGCGGGGGCGGGGCGGGCGCGCTCCGGGCGCGCTCCGGCGGCCGGCGGGGATTTCCAGCGCGCGAGAGGAAGTGCTGCGAGAGGGAGCGTGAGGGCGCGAGGGAGCGCGGCGCGGCCGGGCGCCGCGTGCGCGAGCCGGGTTGCAGCCCAGCAGGGACTTTCCAGCCGGCGGCGGCGGCGGCCGCCGGCCCTTCCCCGCCCCCCGACATGGGGCTGCCCGGGGAGCAGGACGCTGCGGACCGCGGCGGAGGACGCGCCCGGAGCTCCTGAGCCGGCGAGCGGCGGCGGACCGCGGGTAAGGGGCGGCGGCGGCGAGCGGGCGGGCCCGGCGGGTCTATCTCGGGGCTCCATCCCGCGCCCTCGGCGGCGGCGCGGGGCCGGAGCGGCGCAGGCCTGGCGCCGGGAGGCCGGTGCCCGGTGCGGCGCCGCCTGGCCCGGTCCCCGTCGGCCCGCCCGCCGCCCGGACGCCTCAACTTCGGGAAACTTTGTGCTCGGGGACAGGCCCGGGGCCGGGGCTCCGTAGCTTTTCAGGAAACGGGGCTCAGGCCTCCTGCGAACGTGACCCTCCTCGGGGCGGCGAGAAAGCAGCATCTGCTGCGCGGCGGGCGTCCGTCCCGGGAGAAGCCGGCTGGCTCGGTGTCCGCGCGGACGGGAGTGCTCGCTCCGGGATAGCGGCGTGTCTCTTTTTGAGCCATTATTTAAAAGTTTATACTGAGTCATTCCTCTGCAGATGAGCCGCCGACTGATTCATAGTCCGAGCTGCAGTGGCCTGGCGGCGGGCGGGCCCGGGCCCCCGTTTGGGGCAGAAAGCACGCATTCCACCTTCGCTGACGCGGAAGGTCAGAACGGGCGTCCTGGGCCGAGCGCTGCGCCGCCGGCCGGGGGCGAATTCCGCCCGCAGGCGCCGGGCTGCCGCTCGCGCCCTCCGCCGCCTGCCCACCGTCGCCCCGCGGGGACCGCGCTCTGATGTGCAGACCTTTGGGGAGAATCCTGTGCGGGAGAGTCTTTACCTTTAGCTGGGAAGCGTAGCATGAAATGGAAATGGATGGGGCGTGTGGACGTGCTCTGAAATTTAAGAAGCCTTCGGTTCCCGGGCCGCTGGAGGAGACAGTTTTATGTCACGTTTTTCCTGTGAGGCTGTGAATCAGATTTCCGAATGACACGGGGCTGTGTGTGTGTGTGAGTGTGCGCCCTGTGCATGTATTTCTGTGGAGTCATAAGGGCCGTATTGAGCAGCGCTGTTGCCGCTTCTTGATTTACATTCACAGCACACCGCTGAGGAGGAGCCATAATTTTTTTTTTTTTTCTCTAGCGTTTGCGGTGAGCACACACGGGTGAAGCTTTTGGACATGTTGTGTTCTGTCCCCTGTGTGCCTATGAAACCCTCATGTAAGGAAATGATCCGGGGGTGGGGGGGGCCAGCAGTTGGAGCTGAAGCCTTCTCATGCCTTTCACGTCTTTGGAAATGGCCCGGGGACAAGACTGCATCCTGTGCAGGAGTCTGGCCTCAGTGAGGACAGCCATTGGCTCTTCCAATGGGAGCAAGGGTCTGCCTGGTCCCTGCCTTGTGACAAGCTGTATGTTCACAGTCAGTCGGAAGACGACAGATTTTTTTTGCCAAAACAAAATAAGCCTTCCCAGTGTGAGAACTGGGGAATGCCCTGCAGGGTTGGGAGCCCTCGCGAGAGTGGGTGCAGGTGGCAGGAGCGTGGTTGGGGAGTCCCGCATCCCTTCTAGAGACCAGACCTCAGCCCTGCGAGGTCTGCGATGTGAGGTGTCTCTCCCAGACGCCATCTGTGCCAGCTGTCACAATGCAGGAGTCAGGCATGCAGGGGGAGCTGGCAGGGAGAATTCCAGACTTTTTTTTTTTTAAGATACTCATGTGAATTTTTCTGTGAGGCGGAAAGAAGACGGGTTATTTTCCTTGGACTCTGCCCATTCATTTTGGAATTAATGAGATGGCCTCACTCAGTGGGAAGGGTGTGCAGACACTCCACAGGCGCCAGGCAGGCAGCAGTGGCCGCTGCTTCGGTTAAATAGTGTCCCTACAAAACAGTCCTGCTGTTGCTTGTGCCCCGAACGCTGCCCTTCGTGTAGTGGGAGCATCTCAGTTGCTTCTCGCTGTTTCCCCGCGTTCGGGATTTTGATTCTGAAAACATCTCTGCCAGAGTCCCTTTCATTTTTGACTCTGCAGGTGGAGAGGGACCTTCCTGGGGCTGTCAGCATAGATATGCTAATGAGCCAAAGGGTGAAAATGGTTTACTCCTCTAAAGTCCTTTTTTCTGATGATGTTAAAGGTGTACTTCAAGAAGGATAAAACTGTCATTGTGGTGTTGCAAGTCTGGGCTAGCTCAGGCAAACAAAGGAAATTGCGATAAATCTGCCCATCTCTGCTCTCCCTCCTTCCAGCTAGACTCTCGCGGCAGGGAGCCATCTAACCTATCGGGTATTACGCAACAGCTGAGTTCCCTTGCAGGGGTCAGTTTAAGAACTGTAACTTAGCAGAGGAGACATCTTAGGACCAAGGTCCTGCACACGGTTCCACGGGATCAGAACCCCTTGGGTGCTTCTTTACAGGCGCTCCCAGAGGAAGCAGAATTATCTGGGTGGGGGGTGGTGGTCAGGAGAGTCATCATATTGACTGAAGACGCAGAGAGAAGTGGGGAAAGGAGGAGGTGAGGCCGGGTGATTTGGAGGCGACCAGAGCGTGGCAACCGAGGTCTAAACGTGGAGAGGGTGCCCGGATGGCGCCGGGGCCTGCCGCCTGCGGGCAGGAGGGCCACGGAGGGACACGCACGGTGTGCGGCCTGCTGTTAGCCGGCTGTGGGTCCGAAGGAACTGATGGAAATAGGAGGAAATGTGATTTTATTTACATTTTATTTTTTTTAAAGATTTTTTTCATCTCTTTATTTTTAGAGAGGGGAAGGGAAGGAGAAAGGGAGAGAAACATCAGTGCGTGGTTGCCTCTTGCATGCCCTCTACTGGGGACCTGGCCCACAACCCAGGTATGTGTCCTGACTGGGAATCCAACAGTGACCCTTTGATTCACAGGCAGGTGCTCAATCCACTGAGCTACACCAGCCAGGGCAGGAAATGCAATTTTAAACTAGAAAGTGAAGAAATGGAAGAAAACATTGTGTGTGTTTGGGTAATGCCTATTATCCCTAATGAACTAAAACATACAAACCAGCCCTCTCGTGTTAGGGAGCCCTCACGGACTGTGTCCCGCAGAGCGCCCACTGAGGCGTGGAGGGTGCTGGGAACTGAGCCGCCTGGGGAGGGGGCGCATTAGAACCTGTCCTTGGCCGGGTTTTTGGTCTCCCTGTGCGGAGGCTGTGGGCTGGGGCCGGCAGGTGGTGAGATGGCATGAGTGCAGCTGACTCTCAGTCTCTGTCAACGGTGGGCATCAGGTTGGAATCTCTTCCTGTGTTCTCATTCCTCGAGACAAGTGGATCATTAGCTGGGACTTGGGAGTCTTTTTCTCATTTAATTTAATGTTCAATTAATGGGCCCGAGTTCCCCTAATGTTCTGGTTACAGTGCCAGGATGGCTGAGAGACGCCGCCTGCCTTTAAAGGTGTGGTCTGCACAAGTCTGGGCATCTGGGCCCCTGTGCCGGGGAGGAGGTGCAGGACCTGCGGGGAGTGACTGAGCCGGTGCCAGGACGGGCGCTGGTCGGGGAGGGCGAGGAAGAGGGAGAGTTTGCCACCCTGCCCTCAGCCAGACCGTGAAGACCCCTGGAGAGAACGTCGGGTCTCACAAGGCGCAGGCTACAGTGAAGCAGCGGGTTGTGTGGAGGACTGGAGGGCTGGGGCCCTTCAGAGAAGGGAGAGCCCCTGGGGCCTGGGTCTTGGGGAGGCTTCTAGGAGGTGGCATGGGGAGGGCCCGAGAATGGCAGTCCTCGCCAGGCCCCTTGGTGTTTCTGAGCGGCGGGATCTGGTGACTTGCCGCCCAGCTGCTGCTGGCCGGAGGCGCGGCGCTGGCAATGCCGCTGCTCCGTGGGCGCCCAGGTGCCACCGTCCCAGGGTTCTCTGTCTCCTCCCAAGCCCTTGGGGACCTGGAGCTCCGGTGGATCAGGCGATCTGCCCCCGGGAAGGGGCTGGTCTGCGGTGGGGACCACAGCGGCCAGCGCCCCCCTGGGTGGAGCTCCCTGCTATCCCCCCCCCTTCTCCCCCAGGTGGGCAGGGCGTGTCGAGAAAGGGTGGGGGGAGTAAATGGGAAAAAGCCCTTTGCCCAGGGACCCCCCCCGAAGTGACCCAAACCTCTTTAGTTCTCAAGAAATAAAAAATTGGGCCCTATAATTTCATTTCATGACTGACTTTAAGGGCTTGCTGATGTTGGTGCCACGTGCTTTTACATGCAGAGTTTTGGGTGACTTCTCACAGTGCCATTCTGCCAAGAAGGATGTCACACGTGCTGATTTGATATCCTGATTTCCTTCCCAGTGTAAACACTGGATTCCATGGCAGAACCTAAAAGCATACTGATTGGAAGTCGGTTTCTGTGCATGAAGAGAAAGGCACAGGTGATTGACCCAGCGACGCCACACGCTCCGTACCGGGGTGTCCGGCCCCGTTTCCGGCCCCTCCGCGCCACTCTGGGGGGAGAGGAGAGCTGTCTCGGGCCGCGCGTCAAGTGTGTGGCACGTCACCAGGAGAAAGGTCTCCCGGTGTTTCACTAAACGCTCCGTTCTGTGGGGGGTGGCCCCCCCGCCCGGGCTGCATGGGGCCTCTGGACCGGGGGGCGGATGCCCTGCTTCAGGACAGCGGTTGCACGAAGATGTGAAACCCCGCGGGCCTCGGAGTCCCGATGACTGTGGTTTTCGGAGCATTCAGAACCCCCAGTGCTCTGGAAGAGACACCCGCTAGGAGGCCGAGTGCACCAGCGGGAATGAGCCGCGTGTCGGGCCTCGCCCCTCCCCCGGGGCAGGTGTCCAGTGCCTGCAGGTGTGGGGGCCAGGGACCCAGGACAGCCACCACGCTGTGGTCCCACGTAGCTGGGCTGGGGCAGTTAGTCGGGCCACAGGCCCTACAGCTGCCGCCTTGATGGTGCCCCCGCCAGTCCCCTCCTGACAGTGGGGAGCTCCCTGCCCGAGTACATTCAGGGCTGGTGTGATGGGAGACTTCCTTTGACATTGTGGCTTTCTTGGGTGCTTTTTATTTTTAAAGGTTTTGTTTATTTATTTATTTTTAGAGGGGAAGGGAGGGAGAAAGGAGGGAGAGAAACACCAATGTTGTGGTTGCCTCTCACATGCCCCCCACTGGGGACCTGGCCCGCAACCCAGGCCTGTGCTCTG